ATCAAAACAGCGCTCTGGCGCTGACCATACCGTACCGGTATAGTGCCGGTAGGTCGATGCCTCAACTGAGGCAGGTACCGGTACTTATACCGGTAGGCCATGGTCTGGCCTCAATGYTGCGAGGCCAGGCCAGACCCTGGACCGTCCAGATGGACGGTTCAGCCTCAATCGGCGGGCGGCAGCTTTAAAAGCACCGCCAGGCCCAAACGAAGTGTCGTTTGGGCCTACCCGATGGGTGGCTGTCCAAAATCAGGCCTTTAGGGCCTGTGACCCTCAAAGGTCGGGCCTTTAGGCCCTGGTGTGTCCCTCCGGCCCTAAGTCGGGTCCGGTAGGACCCGTGTGACTCGAAGATGTAACAATACGGACTGACAGTGTGGGGGGGGAGGCCGAAGGTTAGTGGGCCTATGGAAGTTCCACTCCCGTCTGCTCTCTCCCGTTTGACCTGGCGGAATGGCAATGGGGGGGACACACACCGCTCCCATTATGGAAATTCACAGTCAAGAATTTATACAGAAAGACACATAAGACCATCCACACAGTTGAAATCATCAAAGGCGATGGCAATCGGACTCGGCCCTGCCAGCAGCGACCCTCCACAACCGTGACTTCCACTGGGCACATTATACCCGCATGATGCCTACCTCCCAGAGGGCACTGCAATGGCAAATCATATATCAGTGCCTTCCAACCCCGGACTGGCTAGCATCGAGATCCGCACTTGAGCAAAAAAGCATTTTCTCCGCCGTCTGCTCCTTTTGCGGGGTCTCCTTGCCAAGGAAATGGGCAGACCTCAGGCTGGAACACTGCCTACTGGGCTGCCCCATGGCCAATCAGATCTGGCAGTGCTGGGATGTAGTGTGGAGACACCTCACAGTCACAGATGTCCCTTGGAACCCGGGGACACTACTAATGGACTTCGTACCTGCAGCTGTCCAACAAATGTGGTCCACCTTCCAATTCACTCTCTTCAAATACACTCACCTTTAGTTAATCCTGATGACAGTCCGGCAAGCCTGCTGCTCCCACAAACGAAGAGAACACACATTCGGTTATCCACAAGCTCATATCATAGACACATTGTCAATTCGATGAACATACATCAAGCATGGAAACATCTCAAGGAGTCTCTGCAAACCATTACTGATGAGGTCAAGAAACGACAAGGAATCACTATGTTTGGGCAGACATGGCTAGATCCCACACGTAAGCTGAAAACTTCTGATGACAACTAAAACCTCCAGTGCACTGGAAACAGTGGTGGCAAGATGAAACCAACTGGACAAGAAGGGTTCTTCAACCCACCCGCAGACCCTCAGGATCCCCTAGTGAGCTAGTCCCCCCACCTGGAGACCAGGCGATGGCAGAGTCCACCCCCCTCCCTGCCACCCACCGGGTGCCACAGCAACCCCTACTCCGAATCCAACCCCCACCTTTCCCTTCCCCCCCTCCACACCGTCCACACCCAAATACAGTCCACTCGGTGTGGAGCACCCAGCTAGCATCACTGGGACCTGGTGATCCCCCGCTCCCCACCGGCACATCCCCCACCACCCCGTCGCCACCTCCTCGGCTGCAGATGAGACCCGGTTGCTACCCGAGTCGAAACTCCGGTGTGAAGTCTTGGCCAGGTGCTTGACCCGGAAAGCACCAATGACCAGGATTCAGGAGCACCAGCACCAACAACCACGATTATCAGCAGATCAAGAGCCCCTGCCCAAAAGAGACGCTTACCATCCAATCTGCTCAGGGTAGCCACCCCATGGACAGAAACAGAAGGACAAAGAAGGGCCAAGCGGGGAACTGCGACGCCTCGAAATACACTCTAGACAGGTCAAACAGAATGGGCAGCATGCTGCACATGCAAGGGTTTAGCAGAGGTTGAGCACCCACAGGGTCCACAGGCTCAGAAGCAGGGGCCCGGCTGGCCAGGCAGGGGTTCAGCAGGGCAGGGAGTCACAAAATTATACCCTGGACAGACTGAACAGGATAGTAAGCTCGCAGCTCAGACAACGGTTTAGCAGACGTTTACCACTCACAGGATCACGTCAACAGGATAGGCAGCATGTTGCACAGGCAAGGATGTAGCAGACGTTGGGCACCCACTGGGTCCAGGACAGGCTCAGAAGGTCAAGCAGGGGCCCTGCTGGCCAGGCAAGGAGATTGCAAAAAGCATCACTTATTCGTGAAGTCCACAAAGCAACATTGCAACGAGAGGGAAGCAGCACGACAGGGAGTCACAAAATCATACCCTGGACAGTGGACAGACCAAACAGGATAGTAAGCATGCAGCTCAGAGAAGGGTTTCACAGAAGTTTACCACCCACAGGATCAGGAGAGACTATGAAGGTCAAGCAGGGAGACGCACAGGTAAGACTTTAGTAGAAGCTTACCACTCATTTGAATCAGGGCAGGGTAACGTCGACAAACATGGGCTCAGCTGGGTAGGCAGGGACTCAGCAGGACAGGGAGTCACATACCAAAAAAAGGAAAGCATGACAAAGACACTTGGAACAGTACCCATTGACCCTCAGCAGCAGACAACTTGAAGGCAATACACAAATTTAATTTGCAACATGACGAGCGACTCAATGTGGAGGGCTAGTCCCCACGTTGAGGTGGATATCGCGACCCGTATACCCATGATCTCCATAATATTTAACAAGTCGGGTTTTGATGTCTATCATATATAAAGCACCTACACATAGGAAAAGGGCTGAAGAAACCAGTCCATGGCTAGATCACCCGGTTTCGGGTCAAATTGATACAACTATCTACAATTTCATTAGGCCTTCATTAATATCATATTAGCATACTCCCCTGAAAAAAAAAAAGTGCAGAACCGATGGAAGAATATTCTACGTTATAGCCTGCAACTACAAAATGACTTGTCACTGTAAAACTATAAGGAATCATGCCAATAAGATTACAAGATAACAAAAATTTAAAGTAAAAGTGACAAAGATGAAAGGAAAAAATTATCGTTGTTTAACAATGATTCAGAAACAACGATAATTTTTTTGTACACCACTTAAACAATGATTCAGAAACAAAATAGCATACGGAAATCTTTTTTCAATATGTTGTGTTTTTTTCTTAACAAGTGTTTTTCTTATTCTCATCAATTTTGATTGGCTTTTTTGCATCCAAAGCGTATTTTATCGTATGGTTCCACTTTGGAGCACAGGCCACTGTTGCGGTGGTTAAGGCATCCGGCTGTTTAGCTGGAGATCGCCAGTTCGATTCCTTGCAGGGTCGTTCCAACAGCATAGTTATATACCCGTGATCTAGCGTGGTAACTGGCCAGGAAATAATACCCAGGGTTGTGGTGGCTATGAGCAGAGCTAGTCCTCTGCGAGAGGGTCTCCATGGATGCTGCATGTGAAGAGAGTGTGTCTGTGCACTGCAACCCTGCAGGGGTGGAGTGGATATCATGATCAGTATGGTTCTTATTTCCTACGTGGGGTGACAGTTGCAGAGGTGATCACCGTGACAGTTGCAGAGGTTAATAAGGTGTCCAGCCGTTTAGCTTGAGATCACCGGTCGATTCCTTCCAGGGCCGTTCCAACAGAGCGGTATAGTTGCAGAGGTTAAAGCACCAGTACATTACACATCGGCCCGCGGGTGTCAGCATGAAACCCCGCACCACTTCAGAGGCCGCCGATTTTTTTTTTTGCAACGGCGACCCTGGCCGCGCGGCGCCTACGAGTTTTGCTTGTGACAAAAGAAAAAAATCTGCAAGGCTGGGGCTGTGTACTAGCGGTTTAAGGCGTCCAGCTGCTTAGCTTGAGATCACCGGTCAATTCCTCCAAGCGTCGTTCCAACAGAGTGGTTACATACCCCACTCAATGTTACACAGGGACGCTGGACCCAATTTCCAGCAGGTGCCACTTCCCACCAATAGATGGAGCCTTCACAAATAGGGGGCCCTGATTAGCAAGGATGTTTTTATCACCTTGCTCAGCAGAACCCCTGTGGGAGAAGTTTTGCCAAAAAAACAAAGGGGAAAAAAAGACTTCACCGCATGATATGTCCCTGCAATCCTTGTTGTGTGTAGCGGACCCACCAGGTATGGTGCTCCGCTAGTGGTAGAGATGGAGATGGAGAAAGAAGGGGGAGCAAGATGACGCACAGCGCAGCTCCCACGCAGGACTCCAACGCACGTACTCCAGAAATGTGCAAGTGAAGAACGAGGGTGAAAACAGACAATGGCTGGGGTATACCCCAGCGGACTGACGGGACTGGACTGGACTGGCTGGTACCGACAGAGGTACCGGCCTGGACTGGCCTACCCCGAATACAACACAGGCCTGTGAGAACAGGCCAAGGGGCTGGTCTCATAGGCCAACCCGAGGTCCGCTACACGATCCTCGGCCTGTGATGGATCGCCTAGATACAAACATGCTTCCGCCAAGAAGCGGAACTCTACCAAAGAAAGAAAACATGAGTAGTCTAGGATGCGGAGCAAGCTCCATGCTGAGTCCATGCGATGCAACCTAGGATATAAAATGTCACAAAACAGCAATGTCACAGCTAACAGCCTAAGTGAAAGCAGAAGCAACTAACTAACATACATGTCCTAGGAAAGCAGAAAGTAGTGACAACTAGATCCTAGAATGTTGGAGGCACTAGCCTCAGTCTGGGAACAACTGACTAGTGTATAAGTCCTAAGAACAGCAAAAGCAGAACAACTAAATCCTAGAAATGTCAGAGGCAGTAGCCTCAGTCTGCGAGCAACAAAGCAACAACAAGTCTATCATATGTCACATGAGAAGTGTGTCGCAAACCAAAGGGTGGGATGGTCTATGAGGGTGGGGAATGCAGCCTAGGGGTCGAAAACTCCTAAGGGCATCCACACATAGATAACAGGGAGACACATGTCATCAGGCTCAAGGAGGGTAGGGAACTGAGAGCGAACAAAACCAATGACCCTAACAGATAGACCATCAGGGCGGGTAATGCTCGACTAAGGGGTGACCGCTATGGAGGGTCGACCATGCAAAGGAACAGGGGAGCCTGGTATACTGGGCGCACCTAGATGAAGCATGTGGGGCTGCCTAACCAGGGCGTGAGGGCCGGCGAAGGGTAGAAAGATGATGGGTGAGGGAATCATGCAAATGACTCCTAAAGTGAGGGAAGTCGGAGCTAGATCCGTAAGATGGGAAGCCAGGGCAACGCTACGGTCCCGATTCCTATGCGTATACCAAGGGAGAGCCCAACTCAGAGGAACCCGGCTAAAGGGAGACCATCATGCGACACAAGCAGGGTACTGTACAGGGTAGAGTGGTAAGAGAGTGGCGACGTCTGAAGTAGG